TGATGAATGGATAAAGAAATTGTGGTTTATATACATAATGGAATACTACGTGGCAATGAGAAAGAATGAAATATGGCCTTTTGTAGCAACGTGGATGGAACTGGAGAGTGTGATGCTAAGTGAAATAAGCCATACAGAGAAAGACAGATACCATATGTTTTCACTCTTATGTGCATCCTGAGAAACTTAACTGAAACCCATGGGGGAGGGGAAGGAAAAAAAAAATGAGGTTAGAGTGGGAAAGAGCCAAAGCATAAGAAGAGACTCTTAAAAACTGAGAACAAAGTGAGGGTTGATGGGAGGTTGGTGGGAGGGAGGGAAGGGTAGGTGATGGGCATTGAAGAGGGCATCTTTTGGGATGAGCACTGGGTGTTGTATGGAAACCAATTTGACAATAAATTTCATATATTAAAAAAAAATAAAGAATAAATGTAAATTTGGATGTCACATTCTGATTTTATTGCCAAATAACTTTCTTGTGTGTGTGTGCTGTGTGTGTGTGCGTGTGTGTGTATTAAATATACGGGTGATTGGTTTAATTTTGTAATTAAATTATTTAACACAGTAACCTAACAGTCAACAAGGACTGTATGTTCAATAATGTTTTGGGGAGAGAGGGGTTTTTAGGTATAATTTATACACAGTGAAATTTACTCTTTGTGGTTGTGTAGTCCTGTGTGTTTTGGCAAATGTATATAATAGTGTAGTCACTATCAAATTTGAGAGAGAATATTTCCACCACCCTACTAAGCTCCCTCTATCCTAATTAAAAGTTTAATCTAAAAATATCTTTGAAAAGATGTGAAATTTTAGATATCTTTTCTTTGAATATCATATTTAAGCATTTAAAAAGTAACGTTCATTTAAATGACATTGAAAGTTATTTTAAAGATAATCTTTCCAGCATAATTGTGATATCACTACCAGCCACATTGTTCCAAGAAAGTCATTTCTGCTTAGCTCCCTCAACAAAAAGGATACTTTAAAATAACATAACATCATATTGAAGTACTTTATCTTTGAATATTACAGAAGAAAATTCCACAAGACAGAGTGAAGATTTGGGAAGCCAGTTTACAGAAATTTTCATTAAGCAGCCGGAAAATGTTACTCTCCTATTATCTTTATTGGAGGTAAATAAAGAATCTTGCTATTTTTGTCATCTTAATAAGTTTTGGGTTTTTTTTTTTTTTTTTTTTTTTTGCCTTTTTGGGTATTATTGATGAAGCAACATATATATACCTTTTGAAGGTTGTGAAATTTGTTGTATCATTGCAAGAGATTAATGTGCATTGTTTTAAGGACTATATAATCTATTAAAATATTGTCTGCTTATTTCTATTTTTATTTTACTGAGTCAGGAACAGTTTAATCAATTTATATTAACTTTTCTTTTTATTGCTTTTTATTTCTTACATTGCTTTTTTAAAGTTTGCTAAACTATGTTTGTTTTTGGTACCACTGTTAGTTGAAAAAAATGTTTTTCTTGAAAATGTGAATTACATATGTTAAATATTTTAAATTCTTAAATTGCAGGAGTTTGATTTCCACGTCCGCTGGCCTGGTGTGAAGCTTCTTACTTCTCTTTTAAAACAGCTAGGGCCTCAGGTGCAGCAAATCATTTTAGTCAGTCCCATGGGTAAGTGACTCATCTTCCTTACATAATTTTGATTTAAAAGTGAGGATCGTTCCTAAAGAGGGAGACTGAAATGATGTGTTAATAAATGGTTTATAATTTCAATCACTATTTGTATTTTTGATCTGCCCGTATTTTTCACATGATTATATGTTCTAGGTGTTTCGAGATTGATGGACTTATTAGCAGATTCCAGGGAAGTTATACGTAATGACGTAAGTTAAATTCAAAAAAGAAGTCTAAGAATATGCAGCTTGTTTTCTTTTCTTTGCAAGTGAAATCTTTGTTGATCCTCTTTTAGAGTCGTAAGTTAGATTTGGAAAATTGGGGTATTGGCCAATCTTTTAGACCTTTTTAAGTTGTATACAAGACCACATTATTTCTTTGTTTCCTGCCTATCCAGTATTTTGACTTAGATGATTTTGGTATGCAAATTTATGTGTTCCACAAGTTTAGGATTTCTTTCATCCTCTTCTCAAAAGTTATATTGACACCAAACTCTGCCTCCAGAAAGAGTAAGGGAAACCTCCCTAGACACTTAACTGTGTAAATTTAAAGCCTTGTGTTTGGAATCCTCACCCTCATTTGACTGAATATGCATTTCAAAGGATTTTCCTTGTAATCATCATTTAACTATAGAGCATGATTTGTTCTGGAGTTATTTTCAATTCTGATTTATTTATTTGCATATATGTTTGAATATTTTGTATTGATGCAGTGTTTTTTTGTTATTGCTGTTGCTTAAACATTTTTCAGTGGTTGTTATCTATAACTTGGTCAAGACTGTAATACTTTTTTTTTTCAAGTTTATCCATTCTCTTCTTGAGAGGGACAAAGAGAGCACAAGAGGGGGAGGAGCAGAGAGAGAGAGAGAGAGAGAAAATCCCAGGGAGGCTCAGCACAGTCAGCACAGAGCCCAACGTGGGGCTTAAGCCCTGAAACTGTGAGATGATGACCCAAGTCAAAATCAAGACTCGGATACTCAACTGACTGAGCCACCTAGATGCCCTTACTTTTTTTTTTTTATTTTTTTAAAGACTGTAAGTAATCTCCACACCCAACATGGGGCTCACACTTACAATCCTGAGATCAGGAGCCTCATGCTCTACTGACTAAGCGAGCCAGGCACCCCTAAGCTATAATACTTTAGACAGCAATTGGAAAAATCTTTTAAAATTAAAGTCTAGAGCTAGGAGAGCATAGCAATCTAATTCAGTCTCTATATTGACACTGAGAAGCCCAAGACTCATGGAAACCAAATGATTTGTTATTTGTTAATAATGTCTGTTCATCTGTGTATTAGTGGTACCTGGTCTGTGCCTTTCTCATCCTAAGTGCTAGCAAATAAATACCATTTGGATTGTTCTTAGCTTCACAACCGGTTAGTGGCAAAGCAGAGACAAAAGTAAAGTGCTCTTGACTTCTAGTCCATACACACAGTGTTTTTAGCTTTGTATTTAACATTTTGCGTTATGTATGTCAACACAGTATTATAAGGGCTGAAATTATGTAACTCATGAAAGGTACATTTTTAAATCTCTATTACTCTTTCAAGAATTGTCTTATTTAAATCTATACCCATCTACTTAGGAATTTGAAATGTCTTTCTTTCACTAAAATATTACTATACATCTTAAACTTGATGTTATTGTTCTATTCTTCTCTTGGCCCTCAGTATAAATATGATGATTCCATAGAAACCTTTTTAAATTTTTTTTAACGTTTATTTATTTTTAAGAGACAGCATGGGTAGGGGAGAGGCAGAGAGAGAAGGAGACACAGAATCTGAAGCAGGCTTCAGGCTCTGAGCTGTCAGCACAGAGCCTGATGCGGGGCTCAAACCGACGAACTGTGAGATCATGACCTGAGCTGAAGTCAGACACTTAACCAACTGAGCCACTCAGGCCCCTCCTCCCCGCCCCTTTTTTAAAAAATATTTTGGTTTTATGTAATCTCTAGACCCAACATGGGGCTCGAGCTTACAATTCCGAGATCAAGAGTCACATGCTCCACTGACTGAGCCAGTCAGGCACCCCATCATATAAACCATTTAATAGAAATCCTCTCTTCATGGATCACTATTAATATCATTACCATTTATTTTCATTTTCAGATAGAATTTGTGTGTATGTGTATAACTGCATTAGCTTGGTCCTTAAATATAAGATTTCCTTTAATTCCCTACTCTTTTTTCCTGCTTTTAGCTTTATTCTTAGTTGTTATTTATTGATTTTTAAAATTTTTTTAATGTTTATTTATTTTTGAGCAGGGGGTGGGGGTGGTGGTGGTGAGGAACAGAGAGAGGGAGACACAGAATCTGAAGCAGACTCCAGGCTCTGAGCTGTCAGCACAGAGCCTGATGCAGGGCTTGAACTCACAAACCATGAGATCATGACCTGAGCCGAAGTCAGATGCTTAACTGACTGAGCCACCCAGGCACCCCGGTTTTTATTTGAGACAGATAAAATTCTCTGTTTATGTTGTTTTTCATTAATTTTACGATTAGGGATTAAGTTACATTTTTGTTGTAACATCTAGATTCTTGTTTTGTTTATTAAAGTTTATTTTATTCTGAGAAAGAGAACCAGTGGGGGAGGGGCAGAGAGAGAGGAGGACAGAGGATCCAAAGCAGGCTCTGCACTGACAGCACAGAGCCTGACGCAGGGCTCAAATCACTAGTCGTGAGATGAAGACCTGGGCGGAAGTCAGATGCTTAACCAACTGAGCCACTCAGGTGCCCCTGTAAATTTATATTCTTGAATTCACAATTTCATATCATTACTATTGTGAAGCACATACAGAGATATCCCTGTGACATATAATCAAGCCGAGTTTTCTTTTTTTTTTTTTTAATTTTTTTTTTCAACATTTATTTATTTTTGGGACAGAGAGAGACAGAGCATGAACGGGGGAGGGGCAGAGAGAGAGGGAGACACAGAACTGGAAACAGGCTCCAGGCTCTGAGCCATCAGCCCAGAGCCCAACGCGGGGCTCGAACTCACGGACCGCGAGATCGTGACCTGGCTGAAGTCGGACGCTTAACCGACTGCGCCACCCAGGCGCCCCAAGCCGAGTTTTCTTATGCCACAATTAAAGCTAAGTAAAAATGGATGACTGTGTAAGAATTGTATATTTATATTGTGTGCAGTGAAAAGAATTAGGAATTGGTAGACATAGATTCCAGTCTAGGCTCGGTCTCTTTGAGATCTATAATCTTAGGGAGGTATCTTGCTCACCTCTGTCCTTGTTTTCCCTATCTATAAAGTGAAAGAGTTGGACTTGTGAAATTCCTGCACTTCTAAAATTCTGTGGTTTTACATGTCTTAAAAAGATTGTTCTCTACTTAACATGTTATCTTTTTTCTCCATAAGGGTGTGTTACTACTACAGGCACTAACAAGAAGCAATGGAGCCATCCAGAAAATTGTTGCTTTTGAAAATGCTTTTGAGAGACTACTGGACATTATTACAGAGGAGGGGAACAGTGATGGAGGTATAGTATGAGAAGATTGATTTAAAGAGATTCCTTTTGTGCTCACAAAATTGTTAACTTCTAGGGAATGCAATTAGAGGGAAAAATGAGAACTCATACTTTATATTCTTTCTTTCATTATGGTTTGTTGAGTATGGATTTCTTCCTATTTCTATTTGATATTTGTTAGGCTTCTGGAATCTAGGTGATATCTTTCATCATTTCAAATTTCAGCTATCTCTCTCTTCAAATACTGCTCTATTTTCTCCTATCTTTCTAAACTCAGAATCAATTCTCTGTCATCTGATTTGGCTTTCACTTTATCTGTCTTACTTTCTCTTTTGTGTTTTCCATCTTTTTGTCTTTCCAATCGTTATTCTGTATTATTTCTTCTTTAAAAAAAAAATTTTTTTTAATGTCTATTTATTTTTGAAAGAGAGAGAAACAGAACACAAGTGGGAGAAGGGCAGAGAGAGAGGGAGACACAGAATCTGAAGCAGACTCCAGGCCCTGAGCTGTCAGCATGAGCCCGACATGGGGCTTGAACCCCCAAACTGTGAGATCATGACCTGAGCTGAAGTCAGATGCTTAACCAACTGAGCCACCCAGGCGCCCCCCCAGATTATTTCTTCTGACCTGTTTTCTGTTTCATCAATTCTCTCTTCACCTATATTTATTTATTTATTTTTAAGTTTTTATTTAAATTCTAGTTAATGTACAGTTGAATATTAGTTTCAGGTGTACAGTTTAGTGATTCAAACACTTCCATACAACACCTGGTGCTTATCACAAGTGCACTCCTTCATCCCCATCACCTGTTTCACCCACTCCCTCCACCCACCTTTCTTCTGGTGACCAGTTTGTTCTCTATAGTTAAGAGTCCATTTCATGGTTTGCCTCTGTTTTCTTCCTGTGCTCATTTGTTTTGTTTCTTAAATTCCACAGTTGAGTGTAGTCCTATGATATTTGTCTTTCTCTAACTTATTGCACTTAGCATAATACTGTCTACCTCCATCCACATTGTTGCAAATGGCAAGATTTCATTCTTTTTGATGGCTTAGTAATACTCCATCGTGCACGTATATATGTGTGTGTATACACACACACACACATATATACATACATGTATACATACATACCATATCTCCTTTATCCATTCATCAGTTGATAGACACTTTGGCTGTTTCTGTAGTTTCACTGTTGTAGTAGATAAAGCTGCTGTAAACTTTGGGGGGTGTGTGTCCTTTTGAATTAGTATTTTTGTATTCTTTGGGTAAATACCTAAGAGTGCAGTTGCTGGGTTGTAAGATAGTTCTGTTTTTAACTTTTTTGAGGAACTTCCGTATTGTTTTCCAGAGAGTCTGCACCACTATTCATTCCCACCAACAGTGTAGGAGGATTCCCCTTTCCCTGTATCCTCACCAACACCTATTGTTTCTTGTGTTGTTTTTAGCTATTCTGACAGGTGTGAGTTAATATCTCATTGTAGTTTTAATTTGTATTTCCTTGATGGTGAATGATGTTGAGCATCTTTTCATGTGTCTGTTAGCCATCTGTATGTCTTTGGAAAAATGCCTATTCCTGTCTTCTCTTTTTTTAATTGGATTATTCATTTTTTTGGGTATTGAGTTTTATAAGTTCTTTATTTTGGATACTGACCCCTTATCGGATATGTCATTTGCAAATATCTTCTCCCATTCAGTAGGTTGCCTTTTAGTTTTGTTGATTGTTTCTTTCACTATGCAGAAGCTTTTTATTTTGATGACAAAAGCAAAAATAAACAATTGGGACTTTTATCTTCACTTGTATTTAATCTGCTGTTAAACATGTCTTTTGAGAGATTTTCCCTCCCATTTTTATTGAAACATAGTTACCTACAACACTGTTATCAGTTTAAGGTGTACAGCATGATTTGACTTAACATACTGTGAAATATAAGATTAGTTAATATCCATCCATTGAATTTTTTTAAGATTTTATTATTTTTTTTTAAGTAATCTCTACACTCAGCATGGGGCTCAAACTCAACTCCAAAAGCAATAGTCACATGCTTTTGCAACAGAACCAGCCAGGCTGTTGAATTTTTAATTTCTTTTTTCTAGAGGTTCTGTTTTGTTCTTTAGCAAACTTGCTGTGTAATTTTTTTTTATAATTTCCTTTTCTTTGCAGATATTTTCAACTTACCTTTTATTTCTTTGAATGTAGGAAACCATTATTTTATAGTCTCTGTCTGATAATCCCAATATTTTTAAGTCTTTGTGGATTTGGAACTTTTACTCTGTTTTGCTTTGGTTCTTATGCATTGTATATTTTCTGGGTCCATGATTATCTTTGATTATGTGTTGTGTTTTACTTAACAGAATTAATTCATAATAATTTGAAGCCTAGGATGGAGGTAATTTCTTTTAGAGAAAACATGCTCATTTCTGCCAGGCCCTGGGAGTGCAGTTTATCTGGGATCACCTTAATCGACGTTTAAGGTCTGAGAGTTCCTAGACCACTCAGGCAATTCAAACCCAGGATACAAGATCTATCTGGACTAGTTAACTTTTGGTTGTTCTCACCCTGAGGATATAGCCATTTAAAGTCTCAGCTTATTAGTGGAGAGTTTTATGTTAGATTTCTTTCCCACGTTGTATATGCTCTTCGCTTTGATTTATTTTCCCTCTGCCCTGTAAGTTTGTCACAATGAAAGTTTTATATTTTCTAAGGTCGAGAAATGTACTCCCAGTCAAAAGGTATTTATACTTGCTTACCTCACTAAGATATTCATTTTCTTATCAATGTTAGCCTGCTAAACTGTTAACTCTTCATTGCTCCTGAGGCTTTTTTTGTTTTTAATTCAGCATTTTTAGTTGTTTTTAAGGAGAGGTTGATCCAAAAACGTAGCACTAGGGTTGGAGGAGAAAATTAGTTTATTTGCATTGACTGGACTGGGATTAGCAAGTAGAGTGGTAGTGTAGTTGACAGTTTGGCTATATTACCCTGGAGGGGAGGGCCAGCCTGGATATAAAGATTTGAGTGTCTAGGGGCACCTGGGGGGCTCAGCTGGTTGAGTGTCCAACTTCTCATGGTTCATGGGTTCAAGCCCCACATTGGGCTCTGTGCTGACAGCCCAGAGCCTGGAGCCTGCTTCGGATTCTGTGTCTCCCTCTCTCTCTCTACCTCTCCCCTGCTCATACCCTGACTCTCTCTGTCTCTCAAAAATAAAAAATGTTAAAAATTTAAAAAAGATTTGAGTGTCTAGAATATGAATGATAGATGAAACAAAGATAAATGAGATAAAAGATTAGATGAGTCAGTCAGGGTAAGGAGTGAGAAGGGAAGTGCTAAAGCAGAACCTAAGTTATACTAATAGTGAAGGGATGGTAGAGGAGCAGGTATTGGCAAAACAGACTGAGAAGAAACAGGCTGAGAAACAAGAGGAAACCCACTGTAGAGAGGGTCTAGGGAGTGGGTAGCATTGTTAGAAGCTGCTGGGTTGTCAAACAAGATAAGGGCAGAAATGTACCTTTGAGATGTAGAACATGGACGTCATTGATGACCTTGGGGAGAGCAGCTGTGTATAGTGGTTGCCTCAGAATCCATATTGCAGTGTCAGAATTAGAATTAGAATTAGATGTGGGAAGATAGAATAGTAGAGAAAACTCATGCAAAGAATTTGGAGAAGTCAGGGGAGAGAGGTGAAAAGGAATTGGAGGTTGACAGGGAATGTTTTTTATCCTCTTAAATTTTTTCTTGACATATGAAATATTTCAAAAATACAGAAAACAGTAAGAGATAGTGTAACAAACACTTTACACATGTCATCCAATTCTATTAAATGTTTACATTTTACTATACATGCTTTAGGTTATTTTTTTAAAGAAATAAAACACAAGAGATAGTTAAGTCCTTTGTATAACCATTCTGTTACTCTGCCTTCCTTCTCTAAGATAACAGTATTCTGATTTTGTTTTTCCATCCAGTGTGTTTTTATACTTTTAACATGTGTTTGTGTGAGTCTATACACATGCACATCGTATGTTAATATATAGCATTATTTTGCATGTTCTCAAACTAGATAAAAAGTATCCTTCTGAGTATAATTTTACAACTGGCTGTTTTTATCCAACATGTTTTGAGATTTATCCATGTTGATACATGTTACTCTAGTTTATTCATTTTAAGTGCTATATATTATTCAGTAGTATAAATATTCTGTGATCTATTTTTTTAATTGAGTTGACAGATTGTATCTATCTTTGCTAATATAAACTGTTGTCACGAATGGTCTTTTGTGTCTACTTATGTATGGATTCACATTCTTGTCAATCCTTGCTTGCCAGTTTGATAGGTGTGAGATGGTATCTCACTCAGATTTTCACTTTTCATTTTGTAAACTAATGAGAGTAAGCATATTTTCATGGTGTATTCACCATCCATTTTTGTTGATTTGTCTTTTACCCGTCTCAATTACCTGCTTACCCGTGTTAGTATAAGATCATTTTTCCTTTTCCAGTTGATTACTGAGAGTTCTTTATGTATTCTGGATACTAGTCCTTTGTTAATTATACATGTTTCACTTATCTTCTTCTAGTCTATTTATACTATTTCTATTAAAGTTTAAATTTTTACTCACATATATTGGCTTTTTTAAAAAATGTTATTTTGGGGGCGCCTGGGTGGCGCAGTCGGTTAAGCGTCCGACTTCAGCCAGGTCATGATCTCGCGGTCCGTGAGTTCGAGCCCCGCGTCGGGCTCTGGGCTGATGGCTCGGAGCCTGGAGCCTGTTTCCGATTCTGTGTCTCCCTCTCTCTCTGCCCCTCCCCTGTTCATGCTCTGTCTCTCTCTGTCCCAAAAATAAATAAAAAACGTTGAAAAAAAAATGTTATTTTGGTAACCACGAGCCAGGTACTTTACATATGTTAGCTTATTTAATCTTTTTCTTTAATGTTTATTTCTGAGAGAGAGAGAGCATATGTTGAAGGGTTGAGAGAGAACACAGAGGGGTGATGGGCTTATAGTGAGACACACAGAAT